CAAGTGGATAAATCAAACAAAAAATGCACATCTTAAAATTGTCAATAATGGCTTCCTGTCGTCTGGAAAAGAAAGCAAGGAAGACGATCTCAAATTTTATTTATACCCCCATAATTTTAGTGTATTTACATTTTTTACCCCTTAATTTTTAGAAACATCATTATTATTCCTTAAGTTTCAAAAATAATATTATAAACCCAGAATTTTTCTGAAAATTCTTCTTCTTCATATAACTTTAAGGCATCTTTGACACATTTATTAGATCATGTGTGGGGTCTATATCTATAATTAATGCTAGAATTACCAATTGCTTATAACCAATTCTTTTCTCTCTATTTACTTTCTAGCATAAATTGTATAAGTGGAGTTTAGCCTCATGTGAGGCTTAAAGTACTCAATTCCTATTAGTTGGAATTTTGAAGGTGTGTGCTTTATGGAAGATGACAAACTGATTATGTGGGTATTTATCAAATATTTTATGTTTAATTTTTATAATTGTGCAATTAGCAAATGTTTAACATTTATGTGTGTTTAAGAATATTGATGATTTTTTTTTGTGTTGGTTTAGTGGTGTATGCTTTAACAATAGTTTATTGTTTTTAATTTTTAATGTTTGTGTGGTTTAGTTGTGAATGTATTGTCATTAACTGATTGTTGTTAAATGTTATATGTTAAAAGTGTATTGCTTGTACCTTGATTTAGGTTGGTTTTGTTTAATTTCTAATTTTACGATAAAACTTTGCATAAAATTAAAAATATTTCTATTAAACACAAATAAAATATATAATATCTCTAAGTTTAGTGCTTATATTTTAAAGTTTAACATTTTAACATTTAACCTCAATAACCGCATACACACTGTCACTACAACACAAAACCAGTACCCAAATGAACAATGTCACAATTTTTGGATATGTAAGTTATTTAGTATATCAATTTTTTCAAAACCCTTGGTATAATATTTCATTAAAAATCATTATATACTTACTATATAATTTTTTGTCCTTCTTATTACAAACTGATTCATACCTAGAGTACACTATAAGTAGATCTTCTTATCACACATCTTAGTATCGATGGTTGATGTTTACTTCTTACTTCTTATCAATCAATAAATTTTAAATTGTCTTTATAATCCACAAATAAAATCATCAAGTTATTATTCATACAAAAAATAAATCACTACTGTATGAAAACCTATAGTTCTCAGAAAATTAAAAAAAAATTCAAAGCCCAAGTTAATCAGTAATTAAAAAAAAATAAGTGACCAATACAAAAAGAATAAGATATCAATTGCACCAATAAAAAATATTCAAAACCAATCTAATAGTTATGTGTTGAAATTATTCAAACATCCTATCTTTGTGTGTTGAAATTTTATAAGTAACATAGTGCCTTCAGATACGGGCAATGACTAGTACATATATAATAAAGTAGAGCTAAGTTTGAATCCAGAGACAAAGAGAGGTTCAGATCGTTTTGAGACAAAACATAAATACACCCAACGAACAATATAATCTCAATATAAAAGACGGTTCAGATCATCTCAAAAATTTTGATCAAACGGTCAACAGTGAGTACTAAATTACCATTTCCCGCCTAACTCAGCCTCTCTCTCACGCCTCTCTCTCTCACTTCTGCCTCTCCCTCTCTCTCACTCCCTTCTTTCCCAATATATCATGCCTCTATCACATGGAATCCATCTCAAATCTCACTCATAATATTGGCCTTACAAACCGCCTAAGACTAAGAGAGCAAGGCTTCATTCCCTAGGCAGAGGACTTCATATTATTCTCCGAAATTCAATTCACCATAGAACTTCATCGACAAGGTAAGTTTATTTTAAGATATCCATATGAAATGCTCTAATTCCTTCAAAGAAAGCGTCTATATTTTGTTGTTTTTTTTAGTTTCCCCTTTTTTATTCTGCACTTTAGTTGATTATTGATACTTAGGTGCTTTCGATTTGATAGAATGTGTTTCATGGCTCTGAGTTTTATATATACTCACCACATGTTCGATGAAAGTTCTGAGAGAGCTTTGTTCCTGTTTGTTCTTCAATTTTTTCCTTTTTTTCTTATGTATTAAATTTCAAATACTGGAATGGTATTTGGGATATGGATTTTAATATTTATGACTACCTATGACTGAGGCCCATCGTTGTTCACCCTATTTCCTTTTTTCCCTGTTCGTTCTCTATTGTTGTTCACCCTATTAATAACTGCCTGTGATTGAGGAGTGTTGTGCATCATTCTTAAGGAGTTTTGGATTTGTGATTTGATCTGTGCTGTTTTTTGGGATAGGAGTTCTAGATTTTTGTTTGTCGACAGTCTCTTACTCACCGCCATCTTTGTTGAATTTTTTGGTCTAAAGTTCACTTGCTTTGATTTTTTTCTTCCAGTTTTACATTTGCCAATTCATTAGTGGATTTCTACAAATGTATATATGTGCTATAGGTTTACTAGATGCAAAGGTTAGCAATTGGAAACAGCCCCAAAGATTGGGTGACACTAGTTATTTGAGGAAGCAAGGCCAAACCCTTCTGACAAATTTTGTCCAAGCTACGTCTTTCGGGCATTAAGACCTCAGTTTGACCTCTTCCAGCCAATGTTCAAGATTAGCCGATGCTTCTGATACAAAAAAAAAAAGAGAAAAGAAAAGAAAAGAAAAGAGTAGGAGGATTCTTTGTTTTGATTTTCATATCACCCAAGAAAAGCCCCAACAAGATAAAAAGGTATACAAATGTCAAAGTTAATACTGCTTTCTTGATCTCTTTATATCACTCATGGCACAACAAAATATGATTATTTTCTATTACTGATCAATTATTTCAAATCAAGATTCACAATCATTTTTCGATTTTGTTATAAATTGTTGATAGAAGAACATGCTAATATGCTATCATTGCTAGTTACTGTCTAAGTTCAGCTATAACTTGGGTCGCTTCAAAGTGGAAGTCTTTTTTGTTTTTTTTAGGATCATGGATGCCTTTATTGGAATTGCTTTGTTTATTACAAAAGAAACTGAAATTATTATTGTTAGATAGTCGCTCAAAAGCATTCTAACTTCATAGTGCAAGTCTTCTAATACAGTGTAACCTATGCTAGAAAAATGATACTTTCATGGTAGTCTCCAAATCTTCATTGGGAAAAAAAAAAGCACTAAAGGGTAATAACGTTGTTTGCTTTGTTGTTAGAGGTCGATATCTCTCTATTCGTATTGGTATATTTTGATGTGGTGTACTTAGTTATAGTGGAAGTTTTTACTACTTATATTGCATTTAGGGGTTTTTCATCTGATTTCTTTATATGTTTGGTTTTGCTACATTTTGATTTCTTTGTTAGTTTGTGGACTGAATTTGTATCAGAAAGAGCTATCGACACATTGCCACCAATATCACATGATATTTTTCTATTTTTCCTGTCCAACATCAAGAGGGATTTCTTTTTTTTTTTTCTTTTGCTCTTCTTTATCATTTTTTTGGTTAAAGTGCAGTAACATTCGACATTCGACATTTGTGTGTTCCTCGCAGTGAGTGGATTCTATGTGTACATTTTTTTTTTGGGATTAAAGTTCTTTGAGTATGATTTTTGAATATAAAGTAGGTTTTATACGCTGATTGTGCCAAAACTACGGCTAAATTTTTGTTCTTTTGGTGTTTGTATGATGATGTTTGAGGACTACACTTGCAAAAGTGGGAGCATTTGCACCACAATATAAACTATGGCTAAATTTTTGTTCTTTTGGTGGTTATATGATATGTTTGAGGACTACACTGGCTTGGTGGCTTCTTGAAAGCAATGGAAAATTGAATTTATTGATTTACATGGTGATGGCACTTATTTTGTTATTTAGGTCCGGGTGGAAAATGTTAAGGTTGATTTGATGGTAACTATATCACATGCATCATAAGTAATTTAATCATCTTTTGCACGATGCTACCATAAATATGGTTTTTGCTATTCAGGGGCGATCATTTCCACTACTAGCATGGATGGAATGGAGATATTTATATTGGAATGGGTGAGTTGGATTTTTCAATAGCTTCCAGCTTGAACGAAATGGACGTGAGACTCGGATTTTGATACCTTTTTGTGGTGGTATAAGGCTAGCATAATATTTTTTGTTAAAAGACAATGAGTTCTAATTTTAGCTATTCTCTTGAGGCCTTTTACGCACATTAATATTCAGTGTTTGTTTATTTCTAATGTGTTTATGTTAAGTGTTTGATTGTTTCGTTTTTAAGAACAATGTAAGTTTTTTTTTTTTTTTTTAAAATTGCACGGATTATGGGGACAGTTTAGGCTTTCAGCTTAGTACACGTCCGAGTTCAGTGTTTAATTATTTCGTGCCCAAATTTAGTGTTCGATGGTTTTTGAATTGCACCGTACTTTCAAGCATGGGTTATCCATAGTATATAATAAAATAGAATGATTTTGAATCTAATAGATAAAAGAACAACTTAAATTATCTTGTAACCAAAAAAGGCATCATCAGACAAATGATGCTATCCCAAACCCTCGAGCTATTAATGTCTCATATCATTTCAATCCCACATTCTGCATTAACTATTAAATTCTTTTAACTGCCCAAAACTTACTTTCCCAAATTAACATCCATAAATTTATTCTTTCACTTACATTACACAAATGAGTTTTTTCCCAAATTCAGCCTCTCCAAAAATTTTATTCTTAAACCCAATTAATTTTAAACTTATTTTTTAAACTCAGTCTTTTTTTAAAAATGTCATTCCAAATGACGTCTTCATAGGTTAAAACGTCATTTGAAATGATGATTTTAAACTAAATTTTTTTTATTAAAAATGTCATTCAAAATAATATTTTTAAAAACGTCATGATATTTTTTAAAACGATTTTTCATACGAAAAGTAACAGCCGTTAAAAAAATAATAGTGAGAGTTGTTAAAAACGTCATTGTGATTGACGTTATCTAACCCCTATGTTCCGCACCCAACTTTTCCAAATTACAAAAATCCTAATCTAAACTAAACTGATCAATTTATCCAACCTCTACGTTCTACACCTCCAACAAAGATTACTCCAGTGCAGACTTTTACCGCCGACGAAGATCACTCCGGCGCTGGACCCTACCTCTGACGAAGACACTCCGCCGACGAAGAACCACTCCTCCGGCGAAAGATCTGAGGTTTGAGAAGGAGTTCGATGAAGGACCACTCCTCCGATGAAAGTCTGGATTGCTATGAGAAAACCAAGAAATTTAATACTTTGTTTACTGCACAGGCATAAGAGGAGAGGTATAAAAACAAAGGAGCATATATTGTTTCTGGAACCTCCTGATTTTTATACTCCACAGTTCCATAGTTTTGAAGCAATTACCCCAAGACCAAAGGTAAGCGGTGCTACTCTTGTCTCAGAAAGTGCGATGCTACTCTTATCTAGTCTAGGAAAGATGCTACTCTGACTTCAATTTCTCATGCAGAAATTTTAAGAAATCTTTGATCTGCATAAAATACATGGCATGTAAGGAAAAACGATCCCATTAATTTGGTAAAGAGGTTCTAGATAAATGTCATTGGAAATGTGAAAATAAATATATCTTTGATACGAGGTCAAAAGCTAGGCTTAATGTTGCCATTGTGTTTTTAAGCATTCGCATCAAAGAAGCTCTATATACTGGATGTAACATACGGAGCAGCAATGATTCATTAGACACAAATAACAATCAACCCTGGAAAGATTGCATTCTTAACTGAGTTTTGCCGTAGTAATCGTGCTTAATTGGTCGAGTTTAGTCTTGCTTTAGTTAATTCATTGAGGGAAATTTTAAGCATTCATAGTGTTTGATGCCATGATTGAGTGAAATAGATTTACTTCCTTGCTGCATGATGATTCGCTGGTCCTACTTATTCTGTTTTGGTTTTTTTGGTAATTGCCCATGGCCTTGTTTGAGTTATGAAGTTGATAGAAGTTTACGGGTTTTGCAGAAAACGATTCAAGTTATGAAGTTGGGATTAATCTGTGCCTCTGAAACGCCTTCGAGGAGACCAAACATGGCTATGGTTGTTCAGATTCTTGAGTCCATCAGGAATGGATTGCAACCGTAGCAAGGGAATTAGAGAGTTGTTTTTGGACTGCCTCAGACTTGAATTAGCAGTATTAGTCTACCTGCATGAGTATTTGGTTACAAAGTGGAGAGAATAGGAGATATCAGGCATCGTAGAGCAAAAAAAAAAAAAAATAGAAGAAGCTTTGTTTGTATTCATTTTGGGTTTTTACCATTGTCATTGCTCCTTGTAATTTCTGCAACAAGTTCATTGATTTTTTGTATCCAATTTGCAAATAGAAACCCACCATTCAGGAACTTTCAGTTAACATTCACAAACCTCTGTTCCCTCCGACTTTTGACTCATATAAGGCAAACAAGACCTCTCCCCCAAATAACAAAACTCAACGGGGGCACATGTGAACTCGCACATGAATTGATCCAGTCAAATAAGGATTCGTTTCATATTAACATGGGTTAGGAGTTTAAACTTGGTGTCACTTTAAGGAAAATCAATTGGACATTGTATGGCAAAATGGGAAACATGGAGTCAAGCGAAGAGGAGTTTGGACTACATAACAGCCGGTTATTGTTGGCATTATGTGATGGTTTCTGTCAACGGATTCATCCAACAGAAATACACATCAAGAAAATCTACCGACTGTTTTTCTAAAAGCATTGCCTATGAAGCCTTCAACCGTTGATCAAGCTTCCATTCTTACCTAATTTGAATAACGAAAGTTCATTCATTCCACCATCACCCTGATCAACTTAAACTCTATACAAACAAGAAGCAACAAGGATTAACTTTATCATACAGTTTGATGTTTAAAAATGTCAGATATAATACAAAAAAGAAATGCAATTACATTGTTGTAATTCATTTACATATTGAACTGCTAAATACAGGGAAAAAGTATTGTACAAAATCTTGTGGGGGAGCCCCTAAGATATTTTCGTGGCTTGGCGGCAACCAACTTCCCCCACCCTGTAACCACCTCAATGATCAATCTGCATGAGGTCACAGTGTTGCATCTTCATATACATTAATTCTGCTCACAAACTTCTCACTTCCATGATTGGATCCTGCTAGTATTTCGTTGAAGGAGTGGACACCTTCGATGCCAAATCCAATTCTTCATCAGAGTCGATCACATCCTCATAGTCATAGTACGAATTCACCTGCCACGAAAAACCACATCAAGCTCAACATATATAAGTACGCGAGGCTTTCCCCAAACCCATGCCCCCTCAAAACTTAATTCCCAAAATCAGTCACTTTTAAACTTAATTCCCAAATCCAGTCTTTTTTTAAAAACGTCATTTGAATTGACGTTGTCCATCTAGTCTAAATTTACTATACAAAAAGTTGGGATTACATGCTTAAAGTTTTATACCTTCACCAAAGCATTTAATCGATCTCGTCTGATAGCCATATATTCCAAAATTGTATTATATGATATGTCTACTCTAGTTTGTTTGTTGAGAGTATAAATAGTATACTATAGTTTCTATTTCATATAGTTGTGATAAGTTACCTCACTAAGGGTATATTCATCCTTTAGGTTTTCATGGATAACTGTAAATATAAGTTGAGAGTGAGAGGCAGTGTATGGAACAACTTCTCTGCTTCCTCTCATTGTGTTCTTGTCAATTCTCTATCTTCTAATTTCACAATATGCCACCTTTTCTTATTCTTTTGGGTGTTCTTACTTGCTGATTTTTTGGAACTTAATATTTAATGCAGGCTACAAGACATGCAGAGATGGAAGCTATTGATAATCTACTTGAGCAGTTGCAGAAAAATGGACTTTCTAGGCCAGAAGTTGCTGAAAATTTTTCAAAATGCTATCTATATGTTACGTGTGAACCATGCATAATGTGTGCAGCGGCGTTATCAACTATTGGTATGTTAGTTTGACCATTTTACATAATAAGAGTTGATTATTATTGTTGTTGTGGTTATTCCTAATTGTACCTAATCAATGCATTGGTTTTGTGTTCCCCTGCTTTTAGGTATAAAGGAAGTGTATTATGGCTGTGCAAATGATAAATTTGGGGGTTGTGGATCAGTACTATCATTGCACTCTAGTAGTTCTGAGCTGTCTGTTAGGTTTGATTTTAACTTCTTTCCAAATTTTCACTCTTGATCTCCCTTTTTCGTTCTTTGCAAGCCATTGTTTGTGGATTAACATTCATGAAAAGTCTTTCGTCAAACTTGCGTATTTTGTCATTAGAAAACATTTGGGATGGCTTTGTTTGTCCCAGCACCAAACAGGCTTGTGGGGAACAAGATTTCTTTCTTTTGCTTTCATAATATTTCAGGGGATAACCATCATTGTTTCATTGAAAATTATCATTATCAGGAAACTCATATATATATAATTATCAGGAATTTGTATGAACAATAAACAAAATTCATCTGAAACCCATCTGAACAATAAACAAAAAATGACATTAAAGTAACAAATTCATCTGAAACCCATCTGAACAGTAAACAAAAAAAGAATCATTAGGTCAGATAACAAACCGTAGCAAACTTATCTACATAATCAACATGAAATTACAAAAATATTACACAAAATTTCCAAAAAATCCAGTGGCAATTCAAAAAAAAAAATAGACAGGTAAATAATCAATTCGTTCAAGAACAAAACCCACCAAAACCATATAACCAACAAATCCTTAAATCAAAACACAAATCGTAGTTTTAACCTTTCTGAAGATGAGAACGTAGCAGATAAAGAGAGTGGTCTGGTCTGAAACCCCAGCTGCAGCTAATAGAGTTGAACAGGGGCTGGTTTTGTCGGCCAGGGGCTAAGTCGTTTGGTCTCGTCGAAGAAGACGGTGGTTGCAGGCGGAGGAGGAGGAGAGATCAATCCATCTGAGACAGTGGGCTGACTGGTTGGAGGAGGAGGAGGAGGAGGAGGTGGAGGGAGGACCGATCTGTGAGAGAGGAGAGACCGACTGGACTGAGAGAGGGTAAAATTTTTTTAAAACATTTACCTAGGTTTTCTTAAATGATGTTTTCAACCCTTAAATCTTTAAAAACGTTTTCAAAAAAGTCATTTTAAATTAAAAACGTTATTCAATGATTTTTTCATCCCTTTGTAAAATTTTAAAGTCTGATACTCTCATTTTAAAAAATTATGTATAAAAACGTTATTTTGAATGACGATATTAAAAATTAATGTTTTCAGAGACGGATCGGTCATCGAATTGGCAAGGGGACCGAGTTAATGGTTCACTGGTTCAACCGTTGGGTCAACTGGTCGGATCGGTCATATAATAAAAAAATAAAAATATATATATAATAATTATAAAACTTAATAATTTAGCTAAAAAATATAAAATATGTATAAAATACATAAAATTTGCCATAAAATTAATGAAATTAAGTAACAAAGTAAAGAGGTTCAAGTAAATAATAAAGAAAAATAATGGGTGTCATTTATAATTTTTTCAAGAATAAGGTTAAAAAAAATCAACTATTTATTGATTTAGGGCAAAAAAATTTATTTATGTAATTTAATTTTTAAAAACCTGCCGATTTTTTGATTTTTAGCCGGTTCGCTTTCTTAAACGGTTCAACTAAGGAACCGGACCGGTTAGGGTCTCGATTCACGGTTGAACCGGTCCGATCGGCCGATCCAATCCGATTCTGATAACAGTATCTAAATGTCAATCTAAATGTTATTTTTATGCGACAAAGCGTCATTTTAAATAATGTTTTAAAAAAAAAAGACTGAATTTATTAATTAAGTTTAAAAATAATTGTATTTGAGAATTATGTTCTGGGGAATGGGTATGTTCTGAGGGGGAATGGGTTTGGGGAAACCTCTTACGCAAATCCCAATCGGTAAGTATCCCGCAGTGTCTCACTCTCTATGTTACACTCTTTCTCTCTCCTTCCCCAATCTTTGCCTAAAATCTTGCCCCTCTCTCTCACACAATCTCCCCAGAGAAGACCACAAAATTTTTCCAAAATCTGTCTTTTCTATCTCCCCCATCAACGCAACATGCCAGACGCCAACTCCTTCATCCTCATTCTCTTCCTCACAGAGCCACCAAAGTTCTAAGGCATCCAGAGGTAATTCCCTCCCTCTCTGTCTCATTCTCCACCAAAGCTCAATACATATTCTGAGCACCCTCTTTTTTGGTCGCTCTAGGATACCGAATTGGAGGGCATAGAGGAATTGTTGGTGAGGAACGGTGGGGCACCACGCGAGTTTCGATTGCCCTTGACGGCGCTAAGCATTGGTCTCTCTCTCTCTCTCTCTCTCTCTCTCTGTGATCTACCTAGCGATGGTTGCATCAACGAAGTTTTTGATTGGGTTTAGACAATTTCCAGCTTGTATTGCATGTGAATTTTATGGGGTTTTGGCACAGAATTCTTAAATTTTGTTTGCTTCTTTAACAGGCATTTCGACATTGAGGACTTATAGTTGGACTGGTTCATTGTTTTGGCTGCTCCTATGGTATGTTGTAGATGATGATTCCTTGAAGTTATTTAAGTGTGAGTCTGTTTATTGGTTAAGAGCCTGTTACATAGCTTTTTATTGTTGGGAACTGATATCCACACACACATTGCTTTTCTTTCTGCAAAAAAGTTATGATTTGTGGCTGTCCATGGCTTCACTCCTAGATTCTTGCATAATGGACTCAAAATTCTCACATGGGTCTGTTTCAGAAAATGATTTTATGCTAGGCGCATTATAGGTGTGCACTTCCATTGACCATTATGGTATGTGTAGGCAATTTGGGTTGTATATTTCACTTTGCATCCGCTGTTGTTTTTCTTGGCGTGTTCATGGTTAAAACTCTGTCATTAGTGTGTACATGCACGGGTTTCAATTCACCAACATTGTTTCTAAACCTTTTCTTTTGATATAAAGTTTTATTTTGTAGAAGCATAAAATGGATTCTATAATGTCTTGAAAAATGATTGGAAAATGCATTGTTTGTTTCATAAAATCGACTTTATCAAGAATCATGGCTAACTTATGGCATTGCTGGAAGTCATGCGGTCGAACTCTTGTGTTTTCCAGTAATATGTTTAACATTATTGTTATGATTTTGGTATATTAGAATAGGGTGGAACTCTTAAATGGATTCACAAATACTAGAAATAGATGACAAGTGTTTGTTTACAAAAGGGTTTTGCGTAATTGAATTGTGATTTTTGCAAATGACCTTGGCCTTGAGAAATGGGGTAACAATGCTGTATGGGTTGAAGGAGTTTCCCAAGCCTTCTTGACGGAGCAAATGTGTTGGATAAATGGAGGCATTTGTGGAAGCAAAAGGGGAATGCTCAAGCGAGGCTGGCTAAATTGAAACGACAAAAGTCAAGGGTGCTATGAGCACCACCACATTCGACAATTATTCATTTGAATGATTGATGTATCTCTTTAGTCATTTTTTAGGCTTTTCTAATTTGAATTTTTTTCCCACGATAGTTTTTGGTGATTTCCACATCATTGATTATGCTTTGTTCAATCCTACTTTTGATTTAATTGTCATGTATTCAATTAGATTATTTTGGATCCAAACATGATAGACACTACATTAAAGTGACTGAAGTTGCAATTTGATTTAACGAATGAATTTGTTGAGTTTATATGATACTTTATTATTGTCAATGCTATAATTTATTCGCTAATTCAACGCATTAGACATGTGGCGTGATGGTATTAGTGAGTCTTTGTGTAGCATGATGAATGCTTCCTTTTGGCAATGCTCACTTTTTTTTTAATTACTTTTTTTTGTTATGAAGTGCCTTCTAACGTGGGATTAGTTAGTGTATATATATATGTGAGCAAATATGTCAAAAAAAATTATAAAAAATAAATTATGTACTTGGACACAATTATAAATTCTAAAAATAAGAATTAAAAGACATAACATTAAGAACTGTATACATTATGTTAGTAAATCACGTATCAATAACATTGCTCTTTAACAATTAAGTCTAATTTTGTGTAACTTCTCGCGATTTCCCCTAGGTTTAGGATATTGGGCATTTGGGTTGAACTAAATTCCTTCACACTACCTGAGCCCATTGGGATCATTGACCTGCCGCCATTGCATTCGGCATACTGGTTGTGTGTGTGTGAGGGAGAGAGAGGGAGAGAGAGATTGCTGAAGAAGAAAGGTGAGTTCATCTCTCCATTGGGGTATAAAAAGATCTTTGATTGGGTGTGAAACAGCTTCATCGGTTGTAACTTCATATATGGGGACTGAGAAAGAGAAGAGAATGCAATCTACTTCTTCGACCTCACCTTGTGCCCATTTCAGAGCTGCTTACCATAATTGCTTCAACAGGTAAACTTTTTTGCTTACTTTTTATGGGTTCATTACACAAACCATGTAGAATCAAAGGGTCTTTCTGATTTTCAAAACCCCCCACTCCCTATACATATATACATGTGTGTGTGTAACTTTATGCTATTAACAGGTGGTATTCTGAGAAATTTGTGAAGGGTCATTGGGACAAAGAGGAGTGCGTTTCTGAGTGGCAGAAATATAGAGAATGTCTCTCAGTAAGCTGTCTTCTTTTTTTTTTTTTTTAATTTAAAAAAAAAGGTTTTAAGCAATCCAGTTTGAAAAATTATAAGAAAGTTAATTAATTGATGATTTTGTTTTATTTTTTGTTCTTATCATTTGCATCAGCAACATATGGATGATAAGTATCTGAGTCGACTCTTGGAAGCCGAAGGCATGGTTGATTTTACCACTCAAGCTCAGTTTAGGCGCCCAGCTGGTGTTTCTAAATAAGTTTCGTTTTTCATCCGCAATATACATGAAAGGTTAGTACATTTAAAAAATGATTAAATTGATGACAACTTTTTTTTTTACATTGCTTATTCCATGGTGCATTTGGTTGTGGAAAATTTTTTGTGAATCTTTTACAATATCAATTCGGATTGGCTTTGGTTCGTTTAGAAAATGTAGTTCGAGGAACTATATGTGGAACAATTGGGCATAAATTTATACCGACTCCTTGGAATTTGGTAGCTTCAACTCCATTAACATCTACGTATGAATCTTTTTTTGGTTTTGAAATCCATAGCTTAAGGTTACAAATTATAGCTTTTGTGTAGCTAATAAGGTGTAAGAGTGGTGATGGGGTACTAAAAAGCATAAAGAAGACGTTTAGTTGGGAAGGATAGGTTGGAGTATGTAAAGTAGAGCCTAAATGAAAATAGGAGTGTGGCTTTTGATTCTGTCATTGCATTTGTTTGCTGCTACTTCATGCACATGTCATTCAGTTATATTCACTCATTTTTTTGCTATTACTTCACATGAGGGTGTTTCTTAAGCTTCTGTCAAAGTGATCTTAAGTGCTAGTGGATTGAATGTTTGAGCTAATCCCATTTTATTCTTAGAATCTATGGGTTCCATTGCATTTAAAAATGAAAAGGAACTTGTTATTTGGTTTAATCAGAGTTAATAAAAAAATTCTCATATCCTAGAGGTTTATAATGTATTTGTAATGTTCCTAAACATGGTGCCCTTTCTTCTGATACCCCAAACATACAGGGTGAACATAAACTATCTATATATGTATTGAAGCGCTATATCTGATGAGATAAGATTTTTTTAAGGGGGAGATTAAGGAAGGGGTAATTCTTATCAGAAAAAAATTGAGGAAGGGGTAATAGCACATCAAATAAACTTTCTAAGAATGGATCTAGAGCACAGTTAGTCTTGTGTTTTTACGTGAACAATTTCAATATCATAAATTTGAAGAGTTTAAGGGTATATTGTCATTGGTCAAAATCCCATGAGTCGCACAAATCAATTTGGTCTTAAGTCTAGGTCAAGTGATTTGAATATCAAAGATGACTCCGCCAGTTTTCAATGAGTGACTTGGAGATTTAGAAACTAGTTATATGACCCCGCACCCTTTAGATTCTTGTAGTTTGATTTAGATTCCTTAGTTGACCACGTGCTTAAAATTGAAAAAAATATCATTTCAAACTTGATTTATGTTATTTATACTTGGTCATATATTTTGAGGCAATAAATGTGCTTTTAAATTGCAAATTAAGTTTTAAGTATAGATCACGATTAAGCAATGTCATTGGAGGCTTGATCCAGGTCAATTGGATTAGTTGTTGGGAAATTGTAGTAGCTGGCACTCACTGGGTGCTCGAACGGAGTGCCAATGGGAGCGGTTATGCGAAAATCCAAAAGCTCACGCTCCCTTTTTGCTCGTTTAGCTCTCAAGCGGTATCAAGCACGCTTAAGCGCGATCAAGAGAGCTCAAGCGACTGCGACGTATCAGAATTTTGAACTTTTCTAACTTGATTAGGATTCATTCCAAACTCACTTTAGGGTTGCCTCTATATATTCTAGATTTAAAACCATCTATAGCAAGAGAAGGAAGATGTAAGAGGAAAAATCTAGAACGTATTTTTATATCTTGGTTTTATAAATCAAACATGTTCAAGCTATTTTCGGCTAATGATTTTTAGGCAAAAATCAT